CGGGTTTCGATTCCCGATGAGAGCAAGATTGACATCATTTTTTTTTCTTATATATCTGATAGTATGTAGGCATATTATCAACTATAAACATATCAGTGACAGAGAAAGATACGGAGAGGAAGGAAGCATTGCAATTGTTTTGTGTGTGATGAGTCGGATGTAGTGATGATAGTGTGTATAAAATAGTGCGTATAATGGTAGAGATAAAAAATCAAGATAATTCGGCCCTGGTTTGTTAAAACTGTCCGAGGCCTGACCCAAATTAATGTGGAAATAGAAAGAGAAAAAGAGATAGGAGACAGGAGCAGAGACAGGAGAGAGAGAGAGAGAAGACATACAAAACCAAATAGCACGAAGACATATACATCGAAGAGAGAGACAGAGAAAAAGAGAGACAGGAGAAGAGAGAGAAAGAGAGGAGCGAGAGAGAGAAAGAGAAAGAAAGAGATAGAATGAGAGAGACGCTAGCAGACACACAGAGAGAAAGACATAACAGAGCCAGACAGACGAAACAGACATATACAAGCAAAGGAAGGAGAGAGAGAGAGAAGAATTTTGTATAGATACAGCTTCCCTCCCATATTAACAAGTTCTTATGGTGTTTTTGGCCAGCACTGACTCAGAATCAGAATATTCGCGGAGGTAGGAACATTTCTTTTTTTTATGTTTGATAGCATGTAGCATATCAGCAACTATAAATCATTGAAGCGACTGAGAGAAAAATAAGGAGGGAGAGGGAGAGGGAGAAAGGAAAACATATTATTGCTTTTGTGTGTGATAAGTCGGATTTAGTGATGATTGTGATAGTTTTAAAAAATCAAGATAATTGGCGGTTCGTCAAAAAATTGATGTGAGGCCTGACTCAAATAAAGTGCATATATACGGAATGCATTACCCTGCAGAATAGATGCATATCTAGCTTAAATATATACATTTAAATTTATCTATCTATCCGGCTAGATATGGGTAATTAGACTGAGAAAATTGTATTTAATTTCAGTATGTATGAATTGTTGTTTTGAAAGAGAGATGTTTTTTTTTTTTATTATTTATTTATAATCAAGGGGCAATATGAAGATAACTGGGACACAAGGAGATAAAGAGAGAGAGGGGGGGTGAGACATTAAAGAGCCAGGAAAGGTCAACAGACATAGAGGAAGAGAGAGAGAGGGAAGCAGTATCAGAGATAGAAAGGAAAGAGAGAAAACATACAAAGCCAGACAAACGAACAGAAATACAGGCAGAACGAGAGAGAGAGAGAGAAAACAAATATATATATTCTGGGCAGGTTATAGCTTTTTCATCTCATCTTGCTTGGTTATACCTTTAGTAGGCAGAGACAAAAAGAGAATAGAGAGAGATAAGTAGCAGAGACGAGGAGAGAGAGGGAGAGCCAGACAAAACGAACAGACATATCTAACAGGGCAAAGAGAGAGAGAGAGCAGTATTGATGAGTCGACTGTAGTGATGAGAAATGAATGGTGTGGTATAAAAGTGCGTTATAACGGTAAGTTAAGATAAAAAAGAAAAAAAAAGAAATAAAATCAAGATAATCGGCCGTTTTGTTAAAATGTTCGAGGGGCCTGACCTATTAATGTTATATTATACGGACATGCATACCCGCGAAATAGGTGAATATCGGTCTATATATTCTAATAGAATTTACATTTATCTATCTATCTATCCGGTAGCTATGCATGATCTAGACTGAAGATTGAGTATTTATTTCGGTTTATATATGCATGTCCTGTATAATAGACATTCATTGAGGTCTTTTATCCTCGCACAATTTTAACAAACCGGCCCAAAGGATGATAATATGTGTCTGTGGAGAGGATCATTCAGAAAAAAAAATGTGTTTGAAAATGAGAATAATTTAATCTATAACAAGGGCAGTATAATGATACGGGACACTGCTGCATACGAAAGATATTTCCTGATAAAAAATAAGGACTAACAAAAGTATTAAGAAAGATCTATCATGTGTGTGTGTCTGCATGTGTATTCATATGTCTGTGAGGAAACTCGCTCACGTATCGAAAGGTCCAAATTCAGGATTTTCATTTGATTTTACATGTCCTTACCGAACCTTAGAAGGCCCAATTTGGGGCGAGACAAACGGAAGCATATATCACGGAGAAAAAGGGTAAGCAGGAATCGTGTTTATAGATACCAAGTCAGGATAAATTGAACAGAAAGGGTATGTGAAAGGGATAAGGTAAATTTACTGTTGTCTATATGTCATGTTCTTGATACTAATGCGCGAATTTATATTGTCATGACTTTGGTCATTTTGGTTAGTTTTTTTACATTTTACTGTGTTGTACTTTGTGTCTATTTCATTTTTATTTTGTCTTTCTCTCTCCTCTCTTTGTGTCTTCGTCCCTTGTACTCCTTTATCTCTCTCTCTCCTCTCTCTCTTCTACCTGTGGCTTCATTTAGTATAGTTTCACAGTTATAAATTGTACTAGCACTTCATTAAATACACAGGACAGGCAAATTATTGTAAGAATGCGTTAGGTTAAATCCACCATTATCAATCATTATCAAGACAAATCGTTCGAAATGGAGGAACGGTTAACGCTGTGGCTAGCAATTTGCAGACCCGCGTTCGCAAGACTGTTCCATTGCCAAGTGTGGAATCACACGGAGGTCCATTTTGTGGTTTAGGATTTTTTTATTTGTTTGTTTTAATTGTATTAATTTTCGTCGATTTCTTTCTGCCGATACGAATGATAAAGGAAATTCAGATAAGAGTAGTATTAAAAATGTTCAGAATATATCTTAAATAATTATCTATTCAGGTATTCCAGTAATTTCTATCATTAACTGAGAAACACACACACACACAACACCACACCACACAACACACACACACACAAACACACACACCACACAACACACACACACACATATATTATTATATATATTATATATATATATATATATATATTATATTATATATATATATATAACGCGCAAACGTGCCACACACAAACACAATATATATTTATATATGTGCATACATATTATGTCCGATATATATATATATATATAATTATATATTATATATATACCTATTACTATATATATATACATACATATATATATATATAATATATATATATATATATATATATATATATATACATGTTGTACATTATATTTAATTATACTATATATAGTGCACATATTCGTGTGTGTATATATATATAATATATATACATATATATATACATAATCATATATATAATATGTATATGTATATATATATATATAATTATATATATATATATATTATATATGTAACATGCATGTATATATAATAATATATATATCTATATATATTATTATATAATATATATATATATATATATATATAAATGTATA